TCATCAGCCTTGACCGGGTCACGCACACTGGCAAAGCGTCCACTCGCGTCTGCGATAGCGTCTTCCTGACTGTAATTCTTGGCAAATTCGCGTTGTTCTGTCTTGTATGGCCCAACCTGATCCTCGGGAACCTGCCGGGCAAAGCCACCATGCTCTGTGCGCGGACCCTGCTTTGAAATCTGATCCCAAAGTGCCTCTGACTGAGCGCGATATGCTTTGACCACATCGTCTTGACTTTCGCGCGCAACCTGCCCAAACCGTTGCAACAAGCCAAATGGGTTTTCGGTCCTGGCCGCAGCAATGCTGTCCGCTGCTGAACCGCTGTAACCAAGTTCGCGGGCGGCTTGTTGCAACCGTGGGCGAGCACGCGCATCAGTCCCAATGTCATCCAGCAAGGCCCCAACATTCGAACGGGTTTCGTTTGTAATGCGTCGATCAGTTGGTGCGAATTTCATCACCTGATCGCGCCGTTTCCCAATAGCTGCGCGCTCTGTCGCTAGCGCGGCCTGCTCATCAACAATCGTTGTGACCCCAAGGCGGTCTTGAAAAACATCATCCAGGAAGCTACCTTGAGAGGACTGTTGGTCATCAATGGCCCCTAGAAGAGTCTGAGAGGTGTTACCTTGTTTTGGTGGAGCGGTCGCGAGCTGTTGAAAGGCATCTTCTATTTGTTGACTGGCCGCTGGAAAACGCTTCTGAAGCTCTACCGCGAAGATAGACGGGCGCTCGACAGCATCCATGCCAACCTGCAGGCCATTTCTGATCTCAGCAATCCCCCGGTCTATGTCTTTACGGGCGTAACCAGCTCGCTTGAGGAGTCCGACGAGCGCCTTGCCGCTACTGCCGCTGACCTCAGAGCCAGACTGCCGCGCCATCTCAAGAACTTGCCCAGAAGCTGAGTTTTTCCGCTGCTCACGGACAGTCTTAGCCAATGCTGGCCCATGACGTAGACCAATACCAAGCGGACCGCCAACCATTGCCCCGTATTTACCGTACTCATTGGCGCGAGCAACGCGCTCATCAAACGAACCGCCTTCTTCGCTACCAAATCCATACAAACCGCCCCAAAGGCCACCCTCTGCAGCGGCTGCCGCGCCTGTGCGGGCAATGTTGCCTGCAGTGCTGCCTTGCTGCCACGGGATGAGCGCTGGCAGTTTCTTGGCGATCCCAACACCCTGCAGGCCTAACCCGGTGCCTTTAACCGCTGCTCCCGTATTTGGACGGCGAGCCTGAAAATCCTTAGATGAGCCTCTTGTTGCTTGAACCTGGTTGTCATACGCCTGTGCAACTTTGCCGCCAAAGCCGCCAAAATCGCCGCTCATGGCAAGCCCTGGCAAATTGTAGGCAGCACTCGCTGCCGCATTTGTCGCACCGCCTAGCTCATGCGAAAAAGGGACTGTTCCAGCTAGTGTGCTGAGCCCGCCAGCAACATCGCGTTCTGTGCCCTCCATGCGCCCGCGCCATTTATCCTCGCGAGCGATTTGCGCCATTGTCCGACCGCCCTCATTGCGGCCACCAAAGCCAAGCTTGTTCAGCCCGCCGATAACATCGTTTGCATTCGCCTGACCGTCCCGAATGTCCGGCACAAGACCGCGCTGCATGGCCTGCTCATAGGCAGCACGCTTATCGTCCGGCAAAATACCCCGGCGGTAAGCTTCCGCGAGCAGCTCTTGCTTGTTTTCAGCCATTACTGGAGTCCTAGCGATTGAAGCAGGTCATCGTCTGACATGCTGTCAAGGTTTTGCGGGGTTTGCATTGGCGAGTGGTCACCAAGCTGAGCAAGGTAAGCATCGATACCTTCAAGCGTCCCATATTGCTCTGCATAACGCGCCGAATAGTCATTGATTTGAGCACGATAAACCAAATCATCATAAAGCGTTTTCAGGCGAGCTGCGTTGATCTTTTCATCGAGAGTCGGGTCATAGGCCCGCTTGAGCAAGTCCTGCGCTTCCCGCTCCGCAAATTGCCCGCCTAGAATGGCTTTCAAGCTCTGCTGAACAACCGAAGCAACGCGGGCTTCTACGTCCTTGGAATTTGGCGCAGTAATGGATTTCAGCGGCAAATTACCGACCCAAGGGCCAGACACGTTTCTGCCGCTCTCAAGCTCTGTAATTACGTCCTTCAGGATGCCCAGCTGCGTTGCCGCGCGAGCCTGTCCGCCAAGCTGCCATTCAGTCAGATCCTTTGCAGCCTCGCGGTCCCGCACCTTATCAAACTCTGTCGGCTTACGTCTTGTCGGTGCGCCCTCGCCGCCAGTCACAAGCGGTGGCAATCCTTCACCTGAGAACTGGTCACCGAAACTGGCTGGCGTCAGCAGTGCGCCGCCATATGGCGCAAAGTCCTGGCCCTCGAAGGGTGAGGAAAAGTCATCAAACAGCGCGTTCGGGTCTTCGCCTGGAGCCGCCTGTGCGGGCTGACCGCCAAATTGGCGATTTTCCCCAGTTCTCCGGTTGTATAGAACCGCATTGCCGTCACCCATCGCGATGGCGCTCCACGGATCTTCTTTGACCGGAGGTGGTTTTTTAACATTCGGAAGCACACGTTCACCAGAATCTACATAATACTGAAACCCATCAGCACCCTTAGCCATTTGGCGAGTTTTTTGCGGGGCTTGAACATTCGGAAGCACACGCTCTTGTGTGTCTTGATAATAATTGACTCCATCAGCGCCCTTGATGATTTTTCTTTCGGGAGCCGGTTGAAATGCTCTCTGAAGCGCAATTTGAGCGGCCTGTTTAGGCATTGCGGCGGCTAGCGCAACCCTACGCTCTTGCGGATTCTCGATGCGCATGGCGTCCATTATTGTTGTGCGCGTTTGGTTTTCTTTGGCCTGCTGCTTCGCCTCTTTCTGGCGAGCCTGCTTGTTCGCAATGCCCTGTAAGAGGCTTTGGAGCATGTAGCCGGGACCAGAGCGCTTATCGCCTGTCAGAAGACCCAGACCACCCATGAGCAGTGTCTGACGGTCCATCCCAAGGGCTCCGTCCTGCTGAAGCCACGGTGTCTTTTTCTTCTCGGTCTCACCACCCTTCATTGCCGCATTATAGCGCTTCAGGGGGTTAAACAGTTCGTATCCCGGCATTGCCATTAGTACATCCCCGCTAGCATTCCGAGCCCGCCCATCAGGCCCTGCTGTCGATTCATGCCAAACATGCCGTCTTGTTGCATCCAAGGTGTCTTCTGAGCGCCCTGAGCCATCTTCTCCTTGCGCACCATCCCCTCATCCTGAGCTGGCTGGAAAGGATTAGAGGGAGGCATAGCCTGCCCCTGATGACCTTGAGCCATCATCTGAGCAAGAAACGGGTTCTGCATCATGTGCGGGTTCATCGGCAGCCCTCCATAATGAAGCTCTTGGCATTCATCACCGTTGGCTTGAGTCCGAGCATTGAATAATTAACCTTGAAGTAGCCTGACTTATCGACGCTCACCGCTTCCGGATTCGTCTCAAGTACGTCCTGAGCCATGACACCACCGCGGCGCACCTCCGGAGCATCCGTATTATAGCGGAATTCATACCATTTATGGCCGAGCTTCTTACCCTTAGGCTTGATGTCGAGCTTGAGGCGTCTGTCCGAGAAGATCGCCGCGCCCGTAAGGCCAAGGCCCGCAACCGTCTGAAGGGTGCTAGGACCAGAGCTAGGCTGCGTTCCTGTAGAGGAGCCGCCCATAGCTGCCAGAGGCTGAACTGTGCCATTGTAGCGGCTGAGAAGGTCCCAACCTGCATTCTGGCCGAAGTTCCAGCGGTTCATGCTGTCAGCAAGTTGCTGCTGAGCCATGCCCTCATGCATCTGACCCAGACCCATAAGTCCGCGATTGTTCGACTGAGAGTAATCATTGAGGCCCGGAACCATGCCCGCAGCCGCAAGAGACTGGGAATTAGCGCCCTGTTGGACACCCGCAGCCGCCTGTTGAGCCCCGAGATTCCGGCTAAGGTCACCCGCCTGACGCGCGCCAAGAGCTTCAGCAGCGCCAAAGCGTCGGTTCTGGTCTTGATCGTAAGCAGCGCCGTAGAAGTTGGTCGCCATGTCGCCAAGACTGTCAGAAAGCTGATCCTGGTGAGCAACAGAGCCATAACGGCCCGCCTTCGAGAACATCGCTGACGTATTGTCTCGCACCTGTTCAGCCGCCTTGTTGAAGCTGGCATCTAGATAAGGATTGCTCTGCCCATTATTGGCGAAGTCCTGCAAGACGTTTGCGCCCGCATTGTTCTGCTGAGCGCCCGCGTTCTGTATGCCGCTGACAAAGGGGTTATTCTGGTTCTGGCCCGCAACGCCAGTGATCGCCCCCTGCATGGCGTCATAGCCTACAGGATTCGCCTGGCTGAATTGGTCTTCAAGCCCCTGCATCCCCGCAACCGTCTGGTTGGAGAATGGAACGACCGTAGATCCCGGATAATACTCAGCCCCTTGGTTATAAAGCGATTGAGCCCCACTGAAAATGTTTCTCAGGTGAGGCTGCGCAGCGCTCCAAGGTTCTGAATTTTGGGTTACGGTCTCTGTACCGCTACTTGTCCCCATCGGGCACCTCCAGCTCACATTCGTACATTGTCGCGATTGGCTTCCAATCAACGCCCAATGCTCTCATTGAACGCTGCCATCCACGGCGTCCAATGTACTGAATGCGGCTGGCACCGTTGTGCTTTGCCCATGCGTTCAGGGTTTCAAAATAAGGTAGCCATTCCTCAGACGGACCCTTACCGCCAATGAGGATGACCTCTGCAACTAACTCATCTGTAGGATAACGGTTGAGACTGGTGCAAGCAACAGCCTTAACATGCTCTCCAAATGTTTCTTCACTCGCATGCTCAGGATCAAAGATGACCCATAGCTGCCAGACATCTCTCTGGTTCATACCAGCGCAACGCTCAAGCGCGGAAGACGGATCAAAGCGGCCATTGGAATAAGCACACGCCTTCTCCAGCAGGGGCATAACATGCTTGCCAATCACCCCCACCATGTCCGGCTTGACCTGATCAATAACCAATTTACTCGCCGTTTCGCTCATTACATCGCCCCTATGAATGGATTAGACATGCCCGCACCCATGTACGGGATGAATGGATTACGGCCCGCAGAACCGCCCGCGCCACCCCCGACAGATGGAAAAGACGGCGCGGGCGTCTGCGCCTGGCCACTAGGGGGCGGGCTCGACGCAGCTTGAGAGCCCGAACCGGGGCCCATTGTGTTGTAATGCCACTGATAGTATTCAGGGCGGGAAATCGAACCGTTGCTATCCAAGTCAGCACCGCGGCCACCACCACCGAGAAGGTGAGGGCTGCTCGCCATGTTCTGCTCACTGTACGCGCTCACAATGTCGGGGCGCCCATCAATGTAAGACTGCCACGCCGGAGGAGGCGGAGTCTGTGGGGTGGGCAATTGAGGCTGTGCGGGTGTCTGAGGCTGCGCAGGGTTAGCCGGGTGGCTTGGGTCTGTCACAGGCGTCTCTTGCAGGCCCGGAGCGCCAATCCGGAAGTTGTTACCCTCCCAGAAGTTCGCAGGCGGCTGCATGTTCGTCTTGATAGGGGGTGTTCCAGCTGCGCCCGCTTGTGCGGTCGCACCGCCACCGGCAAGCCCTTGGGAATACATGTTGAGAATGTTGCTCAGGGGCATTATCCGCTCCAACTATAGTCAAAAGTTCGGTCTGATTGCGCATTGTTAGCATGGGTCAGCGTGAAGCTTCCCGTGGCCTTTGCGCTCACATACATTCCGCCCGCTCCCAGCTCAGCAGCCGCATTGGCTGTAGTCGGAGTAAGGCAAATGGTAGAAAAAGCATTAACCCTAGCCTCACTCACCACTGTTGTGGCAGTATTTGCGGTCAAGGTAAAGCTTCCATAGCTATCTGTGCGCCCGTCAATAATCCCATTGACCGCAACAGCAATTCGCCGCGGGTCACTCTCTCTCGGGCTTATCTTCTGAGTGCGGGTCTGAGTCATGTCACACCATCATCAGCCATCTCAAAATTCAGGGCGCTGGCATCCGTCCACGTCGCCGCGGCAGGTATACCCATTTTGACCCTATGATAACGCCCTGTAGCCTGATGAGAGGTAAAGCCGTTACTCTCCTGACTCATTGCGCTGCCATAGCTTGCAGTCGCCGCCAGACGGGCCTTGGGCGCTACTGAGATTGTTGCGTCTGTCGTATCAACCACAGGCTCAACACCGCTCAGGAAGGTGCGCCGCCCCTTCATAAACTCGAAATCGCCGCTCTCAATCGTCGCCTCAAGTGCTGACCCGGAGAATGGGCCTAGCTGGTCTGTCGAGCCAAAGCCGTTCAGCTGGAGTGTCCCGCCTGTCAGGGTCGGGTCATCAAGAGGCACATCAAAGTTATCAATGTTCGTGGTGAGCGTATCAAGGCCATCAAGGGTGTAGCCTAGCCCGTAAATGTTCACCAGGCGCTCTACCGTTGTTCTCGCATAGGCCCACTTTCCAGCGGTCCAGTTATACATGAGCAGCGTATCAGGCGTTCCATTTGAGCTGTTCGACGAGGCGTAGGACCAGTAGACCACCTTGGATTGAGGATCTACCTCAGAGGTCATCTTGGTCAGATACTCCTGGTTCACATCATTGAAAAACCACTGATCAACCTTGTCCGCTCCGATAGGCTGCAGGGCATCGCCTGCCAGCATGTAGAAGCCGTCATTGGCAAGGAAGAAGCTGATTGCGCCCTGAGAGCAGATAGAGCCGTCAACAATCGCCCCTTTCTCCTCGGAAATCACGTCAATCTGCATGATGACGGGTGGGCCAACATACTGCAGACGCCGGATCTTGTAGCGCTGGAAGATGATCAGGACATCATGCGCCGCAAAGCCCTGAATAGAGCCGCCATCAGGGAAGGTCTGTACATCTGACTGGTCTGTGCCTGCCGTCCATCCAGTCGCGTCATTAATCGCGCTCCAGATGAGCTGCGACACGCTGTTTTCAGTGTTCCCCATAAAGACGAAGTCGCTAAACGTCTCAATGTGACGGGCTTTCGGTGGTGAGCCGCCAAGCGCCGCAAAGTTAGACCCTGATGTCATGTTGATCGACTGAGGCGCATCATTCCAGTTCACGCCAATGCACAGATCCCCAAATTGGGTGAAGTCCCATGTCTCATTGGTTGAGGTGGTATAATCACCACCAGAGGAGCGCGTTCGATCCGTCCAGGAGCCATCATTTGCCAGCTCATACAGCTTTGTCGCCGTACCCGCATAGATGTGGCTTCCAAGGTCAGAATCCCGAAAGCTCGTAGCCCCCACAGGAACAGCAGCAAGCGCCGTTGACCCATTCGTCAGCGCCTTGAAGGGCTTATAGCCTGCAGGGTGTGGAATCACGTTCTCAGCCTTGAGAAGCTTTGGCCCCATCACTGACGGCAGGTCAGGTGTCCAATCTCCGAGAGGTATCATACAACTCTATCCGCAAACATGGCGAGCGCATCGCCCCCAAACTCTTCAGAATCCGCATCCTCGTTCATTGACATGACCGCTGAGCGGAACTGCGTCATATACATCGCCGCCGTGTCAAACTGACGAATAGCGGCATAGGCCTCTGCCAGCGCCCCATAGAAGTAAGCGCGGGGCGATTTGGTCAGGTATACATCAGCGTCTGCATCATCGCTCATAGCCGCGGGGACCGAGTAATAGGTGAACTTGATGTCATCGGAGCTGTAGGGCGCAACCTGGAGCGTTTTCTTGACCACCGTGTAGAAGGCAGGCGTTCCGGCTTGTGTCTTGCTGCCAAGGCGATTGAACCGCGGGGCAGGCATGAAAGTGATAGGCGTCTCATCCGCATCATCGAGGAAGAGCGAGTGACGCTGCAAGTAGGTGTTGGCCAGCCCCGAGAGATCCGCCACGCCAGTAGCGAGTGCTAAGCTCTCATCCTTGGTCAGCATCTCATCGATCCGGACGGGTGGGATGCCGTTACCCTCATCGCCCAGAATCAATCGGTCTCGGGCAAGGGTAATGAAGTCAGGAATCTGAGACGTCATGTCAGACCGGCTCAGCCGTGTCGCAATCGCTGTCTTCAACTCGCCATAGTTAGTGAAGGCCATCTAGCGCCACTCCCTCTCGATCCATTCATGATCGAGCTGATGCGCCTTTTCTTCGCCGTGAAAGTAGACGATGCGCGAACCATCCAGCCCGTAATGCTTTACGTGCCCCTTGTATGACACAATTTCCCCCGGAAACAAATCGTCTAATACGGCAACGTCGCCGCGCTTTGCCAGGCTCCGGATAAAGTTCATATCCTTGGCATAGCCATCGAACTCATCACGACGCTCTAACCACTCGTCATAGACCCAATGGCAATTGCGAGGAACAAGGCCCACACCGTTGCACACCAGATCAGGGAAGAAAGGATCGCGAGGCATCGCAAGTTTACCGCCCTCAAGGCAGTAACGGGCCAGATGATCAATGTTATCGACAACTATGGTATCAAGGCCAACCAGTATCATGGGACGGCCTAGCTTATACGGTTCAAGGCAATGTTCATAGGTGGGCTTGGCCACGCTAAAAGGGTGCTGTTCAATGGGCTCCGAGAACTCACGGCGCTTCTCAGTGAAGCAGATAAACTCGAAGGGGACAGTCAGATGACGGGCAAAATTGCGATACAGCCGCTCTACCCATTCCTCCGTATACATCTCGGAGAATGGCTTGGTTTCGTCGTTCGCGTCCCAGAAGGGACAGGCAATGACAAGCTCATCATGCAATGACAAATCCTCGCGACTCCATATAGGCAATAGAGTCCTCTAACGTGCGGTCTGTCTTGGCAAAGCGAATCCGCACCTTATCCGCATCCCCCTGAATCTCTCTCAGGGCGCCATCACCAATCCATAACGTATTTTCGGGGACATCCCGAGTGACAGTAGCATTCGCTGCCACCATCGCCCCAGCGCCAATAATCACGCCGGGAAGTATTACCGCTCCCGCACCCACTGACGCGCCGTCTTCCATGACGACCGCATACCGGCCCTCTGTGTAGGCATCCGCGTTAAATCCTGTCTTGTTCGCCCTTGGCCACGCATCGTTGCAGAAGGTGACATTCGGCGCAATAAAGCAGTCATTGCCGACTTTGAAACCTGGGCCCATCGCAAGATTATGAGCAATGACAGTCCTATCGCCAATAACAGAGCCATCAATGCAAGCCCCAGAAGCAATGTTGCAATCCTTGCCGATGCGCGCGCCACGGATAACCGATGCGAACTGCCAGATCTTTGTGCCCGCACCAATTGAGCAGTCATCATGAACCTCTGCCTTTGGGTGAACGAAATACTCAGGTGTCATGCACATTTTAGAGCCCCTCTCTTAGATCCCGAGCACACTTGACCACAACTGGCATCCATGTGCTGCCCTCTTTCTTCCGGTAGGTCTTCACGTCCTGCCAGACCCATGCATCCCCTGCAGCTTCAGCAAAGCGCCAGGGCGGGTTAGGGCCTACCAGGGCTCTCAGAGGCGTTCCAACCGCTCCAGCGATGTCACACACGGTCTGAGGGACGCTAACCACCACATCGAGCGCCGCAATCAGGGCTGCTGTCAGATCGAGATCAACGCCCTTGCGTGTTGCCCACGGGAAATCAACGACTCCATTAGGTATAGGCCCGTCCTGGTACTCAAGGTTAACAATTGTCGCTTCAGGTGTTGCCAGTATCGGGCCTAATTCTTCAATCGGAATGGTGCGCTCTGCACGGTCCCAGTCCTTCGCCCCGCCAGACCATGACAGACCAATGTAAGGCCCATCACCCGTCTCAGCGAGCTTCTTCTTAAACATCTCAACAAGGTGCGGGTCAGGGACCAGCCAAGGCTTGACAGGCTCACTGGGGCCAACAAGCTCACCAAACGCCGCCATCGCAATCAAAGCACTATCTGGCTCCTCGTCTGCAGGCCACGCCAGCGCATCCTTGTCCCGAGTGCCGTACACAGTCATATTTGGGAAGGAGCGCTTGAATAGGCTTTCAAGACGCGGGTCACAGTCAAGAATAAAGTCCATCTCCCACCCGTCCCGGTCCAAGCCAACATAAGCCGCTGCAGCAAGCACCTCATCGCCAACACCTTGCTCACCGTAGATCACAGGCTTTTTAAACTTCGGGTCCGTCACTTCCCAGCGCGGCGTTTTCTTGTCCTTATGGTAATTCCGGACTGTGCGTTGTTCGTTGCCTTCAGAATAGACGTAGGCTTCAAATGCCTCTTCCCATCGATCCGTATGCAGCAGGTCAAGCGCGAGGTTATAGGGAATGTCCGGGTCATCCGGCATCTCCTTGCGCAGAGCCTGGTTAAGCTCTATCGCCTCATCCCGCTTTCCAATCCGTCCAAGGCAGCCGGCAAGGTTCTTACGGGCCTCAAGGTGACCAGGATCGACCTCTACCGCCTTACGCAGCAACATAACCGCGTCCTTTGGGTGCCATTCCCGCATAGAGATAGCAAAGTTGTTCCAGATAGCGGCCTGGTCAGGTGCGAGCTGACTGGCGCTGTTGAGCAGACTGGCAGCAAGCCCGAAGCGCTGCATCCGATAAAAAGCAAGCCCTGCCGTAGACAGAGCCCATGCATTCACCGGGTCGTGCTGAAGGATCGTGTCTGAGATCGAGAGCGCATCAGCGTCCCCCTCAGGTGTATTCTTGAAAATAGCGGCCTCTGCCGCCTTCACTGCCTCATGCATTGACCATTCTTTCAAGCAATTTAATTTGATCATGAACAACTTTGATCAAAGCATCTCCGTGCGCTTTGGTCACAAAAGTTCTAAGCGAGCGCCCGCGGGCATGAAGGCAGGTTATGATGCCCTTCGTATACGTCCCTTTGGTTTCAATTTCGCCAAACCAGCTAGGCAAGGTTAAACTCTCCTACCTTCAGGTAGGGGTAATCGCGCTCAATCGTCTTGATCAGCAATCCATCTGGGTCTTCACCGAAAACCACATCTGCCCCTAGTTTTACACATAGCTCCTCCATAATAATCGGAGGAACCTTCGCGAAGTGCCACATCTCGCCATTTTCGCCCTTGTAATAGTCACTTCCCAGTGACCGTAGAAAGGCGTTGTGGTCGAGAATAGGCGAAACATTCTGCATGCGATGGATGATCAAATCACCTGTCTCTTCATCAGCATAGGCAGTATCAAGGATACCACCCGCAGACATGTCCCATTCACCATTTCTAAGCTTGGTTGCCATTAGCCTACCATCTTCACTTGGCCGCGGGCCTCAAGGCTCTCCGCAAGCTCTCGCCTCAAACGGACCTCAGCACCAGGCTGCATCTTGTCAGACATGCCCGATGCGTCCGCTATTCCCATATCCACACGCTGAATATGAACCTTCTTCATAACAATGCAGGTCACACGGTCCTTGCGGGCCTCCTTGGCCTTCGCTCTCGCGGCCTGCTTGTCGCTCTTCTCAATCTTGTGGGAGAGGGCTTCTCGAGCCGCCTCTATCTCTTCAACCGATGCGCCGGACTCTTCCAAATCCGTCAAAGCATCACGGTCATCTTCGATCTCTTCCTTCAGGGAGAGTGTCTCTTCCTCAGCGAAAGCAGCAGCCTGTGCAGCGGCAAGCGCCGGATCTTCGGGCTCAGACGCCTCAAAGGGTATATTGGCCTCTACAAGCATCTCCTGAAGCTTTGCCACGCCTGTGCGGCTGTGGGGCTCAAGCCCGTTTGCCTTGGCCAGCTCATAAAGCTCTTTGCGTACGTCTTCTGTCATTTAACCCTCTTGTGTTGGTGGAAAGCGGTGCTGCCCCGCTAAGTAAACAGCACCGCCCTCGCATGTGAGGCGCTAGAAAGAAATAAAGCGCGCCTCTGAAGCTAGCCGGAGGAGGCCTAGCTTGTGGCCAGGTCAGCAACAACGCCGCTGCCCTTCTCGTTTTTGCTACACAGTGTCGCTTCTGCGATCAACTGGCGTCTGTCGCTATCCCCAACTTTCGCAAGGGTGTTGATCTTGAACTGACGCAAGTAGCGCATCTCCCAATGCTTTGGATTGACCAGCATGGCTGAACGATCACGAGAGAAGTGGTCCGGAACAATCTTGTGCATACCGAAGTCTGACACGTAGATGTCCGCGGCACCCAGAATTGCAATGCCTTTCGAAGACTTGGCGTTGCCATAGTCCTGATAGCCTGTCGCAATACCGGAGAAGCCGGACGCTTGTTGCTTGTTGTACGAGCCAACAATGATCAAAGGCGAATGATCACCTGTCGAGTCCCACACTTCCTTGATCGCAGCCTTCAGGATGCTTTCAGTGAATGTGCGCTGGTTTGTAGAGCTTGCATCAGTCGCAGCAGAGACAATCTGCGTTGACGTGGTGAAGCCACCAGCAGCGCCGCCTGAGCCGCGTGAATCGTTGGTTTCGATCCATGCTTCAAAGCCAGCCAGGGTGCGAGCCGTTGCACGGGAACCAGCGGAAGAAGCACGGTTTTGCGTGATTGCAAATTCCATGTCCCGCTTGATTTCCTTGGTCCGCTTATCGACTTGATACAGAAGCTCGTTCCGGCGACCAGCAGTAGACAGTGCCTGAGCAGTGCCTGAAACCTCAACAGACTTCGTGAAGATCTGCGTGTGGTTTGCCAGTCGTACGGTTGCGTCTGCTGTGACATACGATGCTGTATCGCCTTCAAGAGCGGCGTTTTCTGCCGCTGCGGCGAGGTCATCGGTCTGCCATTCGACCTTGGTGTTAGTTGCTGCCGGTCCACGACCAATTGCGGTCATGAAAGGCGTTGCCATTGGAGCAAGGTTGTAAATCTTGTTTGTGAGCTGTTCACGCTCACCAACCTGCTCAAATCGTGTGGTGGTTCCTGAGGCTACTGCCATCGGTTAGGTTCCTAATAGAGAAACCCGGCTAATCGAGGTGTGACCCCCAAACAGCTTCCAAGTCAGTTGCTTCGCCCGTCTTCTTCAGAGCAGCATTGGCTTTCGCCTTACGTGCTGCCATCGGATTTGCAGTGCTTCGGCCAGCTTTTCCGCCCTTAACGAGCTTCGGAGCTGTCTTTGCCTTGCCCTCAACCTTTTTGCCCTTGGCTGCCCGGTACGCCGCCGCATCTTCCGCCATGCGAATAAAGCCAGGTTCAGTGATCTGGTCTATTACAGTGCGTTCAATGCCGTACGTTCCGGCGATAGATGAGCGTAGAGTCTCCAGCCGTTCCGCTGGTTTCCCTTCTGCCCATGACTTATCGAGACTGACCAGCTTCTGCCAGTTGGAGTTGGCCTGTCGGCTCCACTCTTCCTTTTGCTGCTGCTGATACGCCTGCTGAGCTTCCTGGATCTTCTCCCGAGCCGCACCGTAGCGTTCCTGCACAAGTTCATAGTTGCGCAATTGGGCCGCGTATTGGTGGGGATCAGTCGTGATCAGGCTTTGATCCGGCATCTGCACATTGGGCATGAGTTCGTTCAGAACGCCCCATGCTTGTGCAACTTGCTGGACCTGGTTGTTGTACGCCTCCTTCACCTGAGTAATCTCAGCTTGGGCTGCGTCTGCAATCTGGGCGCGTATCTGTTCGGATTCTGCGCCGAGTTGTTGAAGTTGTTGGTGAGATGCAAGCGCTTCCGCCACACTCACCCGCTCAGAGGTGCCATCCTCAAGCTCAAATTCAATGAAATCGCCGTCATCATCAGCCTCATCGGACTCTGCTTCCGCTTCGTCCTCCTTGGCCTCAACTTCGGCTTCTTCCGTCTCGTCATCGCCTGTGTCTGGCGTTTCCGCGTCCTGAACAGCCTCAGCTTGTTCCTTTGGTGCTTCTTCGTCCGGAGTAAACAGACCATCAAGATCACCCGTCCCAGCAAAGGCGCTGAGCAGGTCATTCGATGATGTTTCTTCCGTGTTTAAGCCGTCGCTTACCTCGTTCATTAGGTACTTTCTCCGCTATTGGCTTTAATTTTAGCCTCAACAAACGCCCTAAGATCGCGTTTCTCGCTAAGGTACTCAAAGAACTTATCAACGGTCTGAGCAGTGACCCGTAGGGTCCATAACGTCCGCTCGTCTGCGTCAAAGTTCGGTGAGAGCATGGCCTTTACAGCCGCCTCTCTCACATTCCCGAAATACTCCATGACAGCTGTGTTGGCCGCTATAGCCTCTGCATCTTGTATTTCGAGCAATTCTGTTCGAAGGCCAATCAGGGCCTCTTCGTTGTTGTCACTCATCACATCCCCCGCTCACGGATAACCCAGTCGCGCACCAAGCGCTCAACCTCAAACCGCGGCTTTCTCCGATGCGGGTTTAAGCCCATTCGAAAAAGGATGGTATCAAAAATGTATAGGCTATCCCGCCCCAAAATACCGATAGCGCAGGCATTCGCGGCGGAAGCTCACGCCCCACAAACCATTCGCCGCCCTCGGTTTTTGTGTGGAAGTATATCTCTCTATCCTGGTTCGCCACCTACATGTACTCCGCTTGTCGCCGCGCCGTTCGCGCTACCATTGACACCGGCCATAAGGCCAAGCTCACGTTTCAATTCCAGTTCTGCAGCCATCTGCTCTCGCTGAGCTGTAGCTCTGCAACCAACTGGCGTTCCTTCAGGTCCATCTCCATGGCCATCTGCTCTCGCTTCAGGGTCATTTCCATCTCTCGATTCGCCGCGTCCTGCTGGATCTTGGCTTGGTCAAGTTGGGCCTGCTGTTGCATCTTGGCCTGATCGCCCTGCATCTGCATCTGAAGCTTCTGTTGCTCCATCTGCATCTTCTGCTGTTCTGCCTGCATTTTCGGGTCAGGCTTAGGCTGCATCATGGCCTGCAAGGCTTCCGGGTTCTCCTGAGCGATAACCTGAGGGTCTTTGAAATACTGGTCAGCTGAACGCTGGCCCATCACTCGCATCATCGCCTCAACCGTGTTGTGTAGCTCGTCTACCGTCACAATCGGGTTCTGAAGCCCATAGTTTGCAATCCATTCGCGCTGCATGCCCAGAATCATCTGAAGCTGCCCCAGCTGCGTCTCACGGTCACCTGAGCCATTGCCCACATGAACCTTGATCTTCGCCTCTGAAGGCCACTGGGAAGGATCGTATTCCTTAAATTCCCCCTTGCCGGCATGAATCTTACGCGGCCCGTCCGCCATCGATGTCACCAGGCGGTATATCTTGCGGAACATCACCTCAAGTCCGCGGCCTAGGTTGCGGGCAATCTGTTCTTTACGGATGCTCGCTGCGTTCTGCATGAGCTTAAGACCTGTCGCTGTCTTGTTCAGCGAGTCAGGGTCCATCCCCTGAGCGTTTCTGCTCACCCCCGAGCGTCGCTCACCCATCTGATCAACCGCCTCATACATCTGCATCGCAGAGCCTGAGAGGTCAGGGGTAACAAGCGGCGCTACATCACTGCCAACCGGGTTATTGCTGTTCGTGCGAATGACTGCACCCGGCCTAACCGTCAGCAAGTCACTCAGGTTGACGTTCTTGTTCGCAATCTGACGAGGTGCAACCGAGAGGTAAACGCTATCCAGCGCCCCGCGAAGCAGTGTCGTCTTGATCTTCTGCACGTCTTCCATGATGTCGAAGACAGAAAGCCCATACCAGCGATGCGGAATAGGAATAGGCGTCCAGCTGAAGTAGGGGTTATCGTCAATCGGCTCACAGGTGAGGATCACACCATCCAGGCGAAACACCTCAAGTAGCTCTGCATACCCGTCGCCGTCCTTATCGTGGTAGATGTACTCGCGGTAAAGCTGTATCTCTTCCGTCTCAGCCGTGGCG